ATCGGAAGACAGATCAAAGCATGGTTTCGCTTGTGATATTTCTATTCTCTGTGATATTTCTATTCTCTGATGCCGAAGTCAATGAGGTCTGGAATTTTCCGGCGATCGGTTGGCCAATAAGTTAGTTGGCCACTCGACAGGCAGTCTAGGTTTTTTCTTGCATAGCTTCATAAAGCTGTTTGCCTTTAGATGATATTAACCTCGATCCCCAGTGTGTGTGTTTTGAGTTGAAGTCGCCTCCTGCTAGAAATTTTCTCCCCAGAATCTTGAAATAACTGACAAATTGGTGTTTTTTAATCACGTGTTTTGGCGGACTGTATACTGCTGACAGGACGAGATCGCCAGCCCATTCTTCAATTTTTATGTTTGTTGCTTGGATTTGCTTTTGGTTGTACCCTTGCAGCTCGGAATGTTTGATCCTATTCCTTACAAGAACAGCTGTTCCCGTCGGGTTTCTCATCCGGGTGTTTTGTATCATAAGTTACCAGGTATATAAATATGAAACCGGAATTTTTGTATAGAAAATACACGTTTATTGTATGAAAATGATAAAAAATATTTTATTCGAAGTATTGCCCATTGCTAGCTATACATTTTTCCCATCTCTCTGACAATTTGTGGATGCCACGCCAAAAAAACTGTTGCTCCTTTGAGGCAAACCAGTCATCGAGCCATTTTCGTACATTTTCGTAAGAAGTTAAGTGCTGCTCAGTAAGTGCGTGTCCCATCGATGCAAATAAGTAGTAATCGGATGGAGCCAAGTCTGGTGAGTAAGCCGCATGCGAAAGTATTTCCCAACTAAACGCCTCAATCGTTTCCTTGACCGGTTTTGCTGTGTGTGATGGTGCATTATCATGAAGCAAAATCATTTTGTGTTGCCTTTTTTGATATTCTGGTCGTTTTTCACGCAAAGCTTGATTCAAATCGATCATTTGTTGTCGGTAGCGTTCAGTATTAACGGTTTCGCCAGGTTTTAGCAGCTCATAATAGATCACACCCTTCTTCCACGTTCTTCGTTTCTCACGTCAAAATCGCTACTTTTGAATTTTTTAAACCACTCAAAGCACTGTGATTTACCAAGAGCATGCTCACCGTAAGCTTCGACAAGCATTCGATGTGATTCTGCAGCAGTTTTCTTCAAATGGTAACAGAAAATCAATGCTCATGTTCAACGCTATTAAAAACTATGCTGTTGTATGAAACTTGTATTGTTGTGAGTTGAAAATCTTTATCAGATGTCAAGACAAGAAAATGGCGCCAATGACGCGGTTTGACGGTAACTACATTGACAGCTAGGGCCATCTATGGGCAAATTTCGGTTTCATATTTATATACCTGGTATGTACTGTCTCGCATAATGCATATATTGTACATATATTGAAATATGGAATTATTAGAAGTATTAGAATAGATATATTTATATATTTGTATATCGGTATATTTCATATGGTGAACAATGAAGAATTGTACCGTATTCTTTCGCATTTAAAATTTCACGTATGTCACGGCATCGTAAGATTTTAAGTGCGAAAGAGTATGGTACAATTCTTCATTGTTTTAAACCTTTAAGTATAATTATTACAAATATAATTATCATATTGATACAAGATTATTTCTCTGAAAAATGTGTTCATATGTACACTGCAATGTAATTGTAAAGTTGATAAATCAGTTAAGAACAAAATATTATAAAATTTTTCTTTTGTGATACAGATAATATACATATAATATGTATAACAATATTTATAATACAATATGCCACATTTGGATATATGCCAAATCACTATCTTCGCTGATGTATTCACTAACTACATAGCCATATAAATGTTTACCGAATCTTCTAACATGTCAACAGTACGAAATTATTATTGCTTCAACAGACACTGCAAATTAATGAATGAGCGTTGGTCATTCCATTACAGATTACAAGATTCTATTAGCGGAGACTATAATATTGAACTCTTTCTTAAAAGATTCTCGTGCTTTGTAAATGGATTCTCTTCAAACATTCGATGCAAGCTGGATTCCTAGTTTGCAAATTAGTGTGGATCTATTACTTTTGTCTGCTTAAAATAAAAATAAACATGATATAATATTAAATAGGCAACGTGACATTAAGATCTCGTTCATACAGCAATCTTACCAGTATAACTGTCATCATCACAATTCAGTCTTTCTTTAGGTTGAATGAGCAGTCAGAAAACACAATACTTAGAAGCATTACCTCATACTGTAGTTGCACAATAGTTATCCCAACATGCGTAGACCCAAAAATGCATTATTTCTTGCATAAAGATCCCACTGTAAATAAAAAAGATTGATTAATGACTTGAAAATTATTAGGTTTATGTTACATATACATACTCTTGTATTTTAAATTATGAAAATATAACAAAAATACTCACCTTTAATTATAATATGTCTTATTACATACATCCGACTTGCCCCCATTGTTAAAGTACCCAAGCTCTTTCATGTAATTAAAGAATGCTTACTCAATGTCACTTCGTAGAAAAAACAAAAGCTTACAAATATATGTTTGATACTACAAACATGATAATGATATATTAAGGGGATCCAAAATCTCGTCTGTTTTACCGACCATAATAATTAATATTTGCTTAATATAAAAGTTTTGCAGTTTGTATGCACAAAATAGAATAACTTCGTCTTCGGAATTGCATGAAAGAATATAGGTGAACGTTTAAAAATGTATTTAAAAGCACAGTAAAAAACATTTCGGTGTGCAAAATTTTGCACATATTATATATAATATATGCTTACAGAGGTAAGCATATATTGTTACTACCTTACGCAAGAAGCCAGTAAAATAACTGTAATTTTTTAGTTTCTTTCTGTTTTTAACATAAACTCGTGAAGTCTCATCTTTGTTTCGATGTGTACTTAAATCGTGGAAAAGGATTTATTATTCTATTCAACTAAAAAAAAGATTTCGATGTGCAAAATAATAATCTTTTGGTCGGTAAAACAGACGAGTTGTGCATCCCCTTAAGGCAGTAAAATACGCATATATAAATATCCAGACCCAGATAACAAAATACTTCCACGGTACTAACCCTGCCGAAAATGGTCGATTAAAACCGATTAAAACATAATTCGTTTTAATCGGTTTTAATCGGTTCAATCCGCGCCCGGATTAAAAAGTAATCGATTTTAATTCCGAACGAACTATTATCGGTTTTAATATCGCTTTCGCGGATTATTTCCAATCTAAAATCATTACATTCTAATCCATATTGTTGTCAATCCAAATAAACACGAATAATCGAATGGATATTGTGGCTGCCGTAGGTCGTCACATTAAGCACAATCCGCGATACAATAGTGCACCCGCAACTTGGCGGCCCACGCGCTCGCGCGTCCGAGCATAGTTCCGGGCGGCGCCGCTACGCGGCGAAGGGATTGAGGTGGATGTATATCACCCAATATTAACCTGCCTGAAGCGTACTAAATTCGATTTGACTATTTTCAATCGGTTTTAATACCGCATTTTCGGTGCAGAAATCCCGATCGATACGGATTATATTTTTTTAAATCCGTTTTAATCGACCATTTTCGGCAGGGAATACAGTGAGCGAACGTCGTACCTCTGCCGAAAATGGTCGATTAAAACCGATTTAAAAACATCCACCTCAATCCGAAATTATTATACGATTTCATAAGTTATAATCAAACCTGTTTTTAATGCAATTGAATTGAAATTTACCATAATCAATCCATAGATAAAAATAATCCCTTTTAATAAAAAATTTCATCATTTCGCAGATGAAAAGTTTCTATAATTAAAAGTTTTTCTTCAATATTTTATATCAATGAAATATAAAATATTGAAGAAAAACTTTTAATTTTGAGAATTTTTGCGGAGCATTTAAAAAAGTATTATCTTATTATTATATTTGGGCATTCTTACATATGAACGCTCTTGAGACGAACCGTCGCGCTCCTTAGTTACGCGTATCTGGCGACTCGTTGCTAACGCACGAGCAGTGAGTGGGGGGCAATAGGCGTGAGCCACGGAATCGGGCCGAAATGTGCAAGTAAATCCCAGCACTGATTTGGATTGACAACAGTATGGATTAGAATGTAATGATTTCAGATTGGAAATAATCTGCGAAAGCGATATTAAAACCGATTATAGTTCGTTCGGAATTAAAATTAATTACTTTTTAATCCGGGCGCGGATTGAACCGATTAAAACTGATTAAAACCGATTAAAACGGATTATGTTTTAATCGGTTTTAATCGACCATTTTCGGCAGGGACGTTACCAGTACGCCGTACTGATACGCGGTACGGCTACCGTAACGCCACAGTGCACTTGACGTAGGGTTAACGATCGTACGCTGTACTCTTAGGCCGGATTCACACCTTGGCAGAAAAGCAGAAAGCAGAAAAGCAGAAACCAATCAGAACTCGCGCTGTTAGTAAACAGTACATTCTGCTTTTCTGCTTCTATCTTTTTGCAAAAGTTCGGGGACTGAAGAAATTCTAAAAATTGAGATAATTGTCATTTTTCGAAATATCGTTACTGTGGAAAGAAATTGGTAAGTATGTGAATAAAACATAAATATATCTTTTTAAGTCTAGTAATAAATTGATCATGTAAGAATATAACATCTATTTATATTCATAACCTGTAATTACTTTAGATTAGGTTAAAATATTTATATATTTTTAAGATAAACTTCTTACACAATTATATGTTTTATATTATTTTTTTTAATGTATTCAAGGATTTCTGGATATATTATGTGCGAAGAAAATTTACAGTTTGACAGTGACATAGAGATATTCTCTCCTAAGACTCATGTTGGCGTGCTATGTAATAAACATTTATATCCAAGTAAGTAAAACAATTAATTCGTGCAATATATGAGCAAACACTTATTTTCTGATTAATATACGATTAATATTCATTAAATTGTCTGTATGTTACATATAAACATATATACTGATAACAGAAGAGACTTATAATACTCAGAAAAATATGGAAGGTAAAGAAGAATTTACGAGTGAAGTACATGAGCAAGATGAGAATACAAGCTATATTGACATACGTGTAAATATTCAAGATTTTACTGAAGTACTCATTGGCGAAGTTTAAAAACGTCCTGCATTGTACAATATCAAATTATCAATCCAAAGCAGGAGTCGAGTTATCGTTAATCCACTGTGGCAAGAGATTTGTCAAGTCTTTGAAGGTAAATACAACAAATACAATAAAAGTGTATGAGTAAAAATTATGAACAATTTGCGCTAGCACTTCATTAATGGTTAACTAACTGGTTTAGACTATTTTAATAGACTACAGTATTAGGTGTACAAACAAGTTTCCGCCGTTTGACAAAAGTTGGCGCCACCAGTAAGTTATGGTTAAAATTGTCAGATGTAAAACATCCTTATCGTAAGATTGGACATCAGTCAATAACATAACCTTAAAACATTAGTGATTTTTTATCAGAATAATATATTCTTTTGTGTGCGAAAATGTCGAGTTTTGAGCCGAATAAGCGTCATTTGCGGGAACTTTTGATTTACTTCTTCAATTTGAAGAAATCTGCAGCTGAGGCGTATCGATTGCTTGTAGAAGCATATGGTGAGGCTGCCTTAAGTGAGAGAAGTTGTCATGAGTGGTTTCAAAAGTTTAAGAACGGTGAATTTGACATCGAAGACAAAGAACGTAGCGGAAGGCCGAAAGTGTATGAAGACGCGGAATTGGAAGCATTATTGGATCAAGATTCGTGCCAAACGCAAGAAGAACTTGCACTTACATTGGGAGTGACTCAACAAGCAATTTCACATCGGTTGAAATCATTGGGATTGATTCAAAAACAAGGAAATTGGGTTCCATATGAACTGACGCCGAGAAACGTTGAACGCCGATTGTTCACGTGTGAAATGCTGCTTGCCAGGCATAAATGAAAGGGTTTTCTGCACCGTATAGTCACTGGTGATGAAAAATGGATCCACTATGATAATCCAAAAAGGAAGAAATCATGGGGACCACCTGGCCATGCTTCAACATCTACAGCTAAGCCTAATATTCATGGAAAAAAACTCTTGTTATGCATTTGGTGGGATCAGCTTGGTGTCGTGTATTATGAGTTGCTCAAACCGAACGAAAGCATTACTGGGGCTGTCTACCGAACACAATTGATGAGATTGAGTCGAGCACTCAAGGAAAAGCGCGCCCACTACTCCAGACACGACAAAGTTATTCTCCTGCATGATAATGCTCGTCCACATGTTGCGGCGCCGGTCAAAACCTATTTGGAAACACTCAGTTGGGAAGTTTTACCCCAGCCGCCGTATTCACCAGACATTGCTCCTTCTGATTTCCACATGTTTAGATCGATGGCGCATGGCCTGTCTGAGCAACACTTCACATCATATGAAGATACCAAAAATTGGGTCGATTCGTGGATAGCCTCAAAAGATGATGCATTCTTCCGACGCGGTATCCGTACGCTGCCAGAAAGATGGGGAAAAGTAGTGGCAAGCGATGGACAATACTTCAAATAAAACATTAGGTTCCGTTCTTTCACAATAAATGCCCAATTTTTGATAAAAAACGGCGGAAACTTATTTGTACACCTAATAATAATAAATTACAATTCTTGAAAATTTCCATTTAGATTTTATATTATGTTGTGAGACAAGCTGTGAAAAGCTGTTCACCCTGTGTGTGAATGTTAAAATTATCATTTATTATAATTTTATATAGATCAGATACCAGTTGAAGAATTAAAGAGACGCTGGAAAATTCAACGTGATCGATATATAAAGATCCGAAGTGATATGAAAAAAAAACTACCCAGTGGATCATCTGCAGCAGCCCAAAAACATCCTAACTATAAATATTATGAGTTAATGTCATCTTTAGATGATAGTATGGAACAGCGAAAGTAAGTATGTCACATTTTGATTAACATTGCAATTGATGCTAAAGAATTGATGTTAAATGAGACACTCATTCATATCATATTTTATAATTTATTTTAGGCATGTGTCGAATATATGTCTCAATAGAAAATTACAGCCGCTTACTTCATCATCAAATTATAATACTTCATTGAGAACTTCTCACGTTGACAGTCCGCTTTCATCATATGCTCAAGTTCAACCTCCGCTTACATCACCTACAGCTGATTTTTCGTTATCCAATACATGTTCTCAGTCTTTATCATCTTCTCCATTGACAAGTTCCGAAAGTCACAATTTTAGTAAATCATCAAGTACAGCTTTAAAAATCCAAATATCAACTTCAAAACCTTTTAAATTAATAATAACTTTTAATTATATGTTGTTTTTCCATTTTAGAACGCTCACGACGATCTACTACTATCGAAGACAAATTATTACGAGAACTTTCAACTTTAAAAGAACCAACACCACCTGCAGTAACAGACTCGGTAGATCTATTCTGTCGCAGCATTACAGATACTTTACGGATGCTAGATCTGAAAAGCAGATTATCAACTGAAATGGAAATAATGCAGTTACTCCATGATAAGTTATACAAGATTCAAAAATATATTGTTTTTATTATAATAATATGATATTAAGAAAAATACAGCAATATTATTAATAGTATTAAAAAGGAAGGATTTCCTGTTTTGGTTATGTGATTAAAGAATTTATTACGTGTTTAGTTTAAAAATATAACAAATGTTTCATTGTTCAATATTATGTTTTACTACATGAAAAAATATGTTCCTTTTTTTAAGATTATAATATTTATTGTAGACAAACGTTCGGTACAGATAGAAATGTTATAAAAGATCTTATTCTTGCATATTCAGTTTTGCACATAGATACATACATAAGCTACATACATAAGTTTATTATGTAAAAAAATGTTTTCTTAACATATACATGTTTTTTTAAGGTAAAGTCTCTCTCATGCTTATGTTACATGTTAATATTCTGAACAGCTTCGTGTTGTCAAGATACCGCTCCTTCATTCGTGAAATAATTAACAAATTTATTTCTTATTGTTATAGCATTACGTTGTTCATGTATATCTATGTTAGCAATATCTCTCAGAGCTCCACATTCATTGTATTCTATTCTATCAAACATATATCGTCGTAACATACATAAGCTACATACATAAATTTATTATGTAAAAAAACGTTTTCTTAACATGTACATGTTTTTTTAAAGTAAAGTCTCTCTCATGCTTATGTTACATGTTATTATTCTGAACAGCTTCGTGTTGCCAAGATACCGCTCCTTCATTCGTGAAATAATTAACAAATTTATTTCTTATTGTTATAGCATTACGTTGTTCATGTATATCTATGTTAGCAATATCTCTCAGAGCTCCACATTCATTGTATTCCATTCTATCAAACATATATCGTCGTTCATTCACCGGTTTCCTTAATTCATGCTTCATTACAAAATTATGAAGGCAAATCGATGCCTTGACAATTATTATTCTTCTCCTCCGATAATCCTTGATTATCGACAGTTTTCAAAGATGCTATAATTGGTTTACGGAATATTCGCCATCGAGATGCCAAAATACCAAATGCGCTTTCAATGATACGCCGTGCTCGATTTAACCGATAATTAAAGATTCTTTTTTCGTAAGTCAGAGAATTTCGAGAAAATGGCCGCATCATATATGTTCTTAATGCGAACGCTTCATCTCCCACCAAAACAAATGGTAAATTACAATTCTCTGAAACATTTTCAGGAGAAGGCACATTTAATAAATTGTTTTCAAAAGCAATACCTATTTCACTTCTTTGAAATATTCCTCCATCGCTCTGACGCCCTTCTGCTCCAATATCGACAAGACTAAAACAGTAATTCGCGTCACAGATAGCCAACAATACTACACTATGCAATGCATGATAATTATAAAATGTCGAGCCAGAATGGGGAGGTGCCTAAAATATTTATTTATATTAGCGACCAAAAAATATACGTATACTAGCTTATAGGCCCGCGCTTCGCGCGGGTTTCTAAGTCTGGGCTTCTAAGTCTATCCGTCTTTAATATTTTATCTGGCATATAATAGATGTTATATTTTTTATTATTTATTCACATATTTTTTTTAATGATTGACGTACTGAAAATGCATGATGCACACCTCACCACCCGATGTGATGAGGTAGTGTGGGACTCTCACCCACTAAAAACTCCTCCTCTGCGCGACCACCTCCGCCCTTCTCTTGTGTTGCAAAGATCCGTTTGCGCATGACTTCCTGGGACACAACAGTCCTAACATTTACCTCCCACGTAATTCACACATGTCCTTCTCAGTTTCCTTCCCCCGACCCTCCCCCCTCCTTTTTTGTGACTCTTACTTTACATATAATATTTTTTATATATTTTATTTTTTAGTCTTCTAATTTTTTTTAACGACTGAATTACCTACCGCTGACCTACTATTATTAGCTCTCATTCAATTTTTTAATTCTTCAATTTATAAAACCTCTCCGTATACAACATTTTTCGTAAAATATTTTGAATTTCCTTTAATGAGTTGTCCTTGATTGCTCAATTCATCAATCTTAATTTTTACACAATCCCTTTCGATTGTTCTAGAAAATGCTACATATAGTTGACCATGAGCAAATACGGGATGTGGCAAATAAATACCAACTTTTTGTAACGTTTGTCCTTGAGATTTATTTATTGTCATAGCAAATGACACTCGAATAGGAAATTGTCTTCGTTTAAGCTTAAATGGAATTTCCCTATTATTTGGTAAGAAATCAATCCTTGGTATGAAGATAATCTGACCTCGGGAAGAACCAGTTAGAACTTCTGCATAAATAAGATTAGGTTTTAAATCAGTTACAATGAACCTTGTGCCATTGCAGAGTCCTTTTTTAGTATTTAAATTTCTTAATAGGATAATTGTTGCATTCACTTTTATTTTAAGTTGATGAACTGGCATCCCAGAAAGTGTCACAGAGTTTAAAAACTCAGTCGGAAAATTCAATTGCTCCTGTGGATCATCACTCACAATAGAGGGTGTGTTCCCTTTTTGCCGGCGTTACAACCATCCATGACGTCATAACAGTTCACTGCCGCAACGTTCCGAAATTACTTTGGCACTGTCAGTAGCATTATGATTTTATATTTCGGAACGACTTTGCAGTAATTATATTGCAGTGAAACATAATAACAACAAACATGGACAAGCATCGTAAATTATCAATTTGCTTAATAGCATTAGAAATTTTAAATGAAAGCAGTGATAGTTCTTCCGAAGAAGAAGAATATAACATTACATCTAACAATTCTATTTTATTGCACGACGCCATGTTGCACTGTAACTGCTTCACCT